TTTTTTCTCTCTAAAGGGTATTATTGGGACATTGGAAAATTTTGAAAGGGTCTGTGGATTAAAATATAGTATTATATCAATGTTAATTTCCTGATTTGGATATTTATACTGTGATTCTGTAGGAGAGGATCCTTGTTTTCAAATAGCACACACAGACCTATTTAGAGGTACTAACACGTGTCTCCAACGTACTCAGCTGACACAGAGAGAAAGCAAGAGCTGAGAAAGTAGCTGGGAAATCTAGGTTCTTTGCAACTCTTCTCCAAGTTGGAAATTATTTCAAAATAAAAAGTATATTTATAGTTTTCAAAAGTCAAATCATTTGACAAGGCTCAAAATTAAACAAAACAGATTAAAAATAAAAAAGCAGCATCCTCGGCTCCAGTATCGCTACCACCAGTTCCTGCTTCAGAAGCAGATTCAGAACTCTATCAGCTACTTGTGTTCCTTGTTACACTCCTTATTTCAAAATAATATATACATATATATTGCTTTTTAAATTTTTTTCGATTTTGGTATTATCATAGGTTTCCTACTAAGGAGGATGAAGAGCATTTATTTATTCAGTTAATTAATTACGTGAGTACAGACTCCTAGAGTCCTGTTTTATTCAATGGGTTATAATCCACTAATATCATAATTTATCTGATGTTCTAAGTTTCCAAAACTTGCCTAGTAGGAGCCCTTTAAAACTGGCATCCGTGTGTTTTTGATATGTCTTCATTATTCCTTAAGCACTTTATTTTCTGATACATCAAGATGTTTCAGATTTACCTTATATTGCCCCTGCCCTAGTCAAGGAATCAGACATTTCTCCAAGAAGTTCTGGTTCCTTTTATAGGAGACTAGTATTTAGAAAATAAGATATACATGCTAGAAAACATAGTTTGTTAGGTGTGATTTAGACCAAGGAACAGAAGACAAATTACAGTTGGGTTGACCAGACACACAAAAACATGAAGATAGTAAGTGTTTTGCAACAAAAGTTAAGTGAAATAAATTATGGCATGTCCCTATGATAGGCTACAATAAAATCTGTCCATATAATAGAATACAGTAACATGATTAATGTTTTAGAAGAATATAAAGTAACTTGGGAAAAGGTTCACAGTATGTTATTAAGAGAAAACAGCGGGTTATAAAATTTGTATTCAACTAGATTCTAATGCATATATGAGCGTTTATGCATGTAGAAGGCAGAGGAGGGCCAGAGGGTAGGAGAGAAAAATTAAGAGAGAGAGAGCATGTACTCGTGATGTGTTTGCGTTCACAAACTTAGAAGCTATACCAAAAAATTAACAGAAGTTATGCCAGGTGTTGGGATTGCTGTTGAGTTTAATATTTTCCTATCTGAGTTTCTGTATCTCCAAATGTTCTAAATGAACTTGCATGTTTTGAAAAAAGTTTTTAATTATTTATCATCAACACTGTACATAATGTGTCCAGAAACATTAAGAACAATTGTGATAAGAGTTAAAAGAGTTGTCTAGGGCCATTTTGGCTGAAGACTTTGGATTATATTTGATTATTTCATTTTTTTTCTTAATTCATCAAGGTTGCATAGTTAAATAGGAAATTTAAAAATATGC